TTATTAAAAAGCCCACTGACCATCCACAGCTTTTTTTATAGTTTACTTCCAGAAAACAAGGCCACTGCTCTCTTAAGCTGGTCATGAGAAACTGAGGTATACGCCACTTGGGAAAAGTTTGGATTAAAGTGGAAAATAATACATAGGTACCAAAAAAGCTGTCTTCAAACCCCTCAATTCCATACCATTTCTCCTACTTCTTTTTTTTTTAAAACTCTAATCCTCAAGGAGTTGAAATATTCCCCTTGCCTGAGTTAATGCTGCCAACATGATGTTGCTGGAACCACTTACATAATTTTCATACTACATCAATGCACCAAGATTTTCCACTAGCTGCAGTAAAACAGACTCATGTTTTTGGACCAAAAATCAATTTCACTTTGCACTTTTAGATATGTGGTATGTGGAAAAAAAAAGAAGAAAAAAAACAAACACAAAAAATCACCATGAAAATAAACTGCATTTTTCATCTGAAGAAACGGTGTGTTCTCCCTCCCTCCTCTCCGCTCTCTGGAGTGTTTTCTATTAATATTAACATTTTTTTCTGCCCAGCTGTTTCCTCCCAGTGTAATCTCTATGTAATCTCTTCACAGGTGTAGAATCTTTATACCAGCCCCAAATTGCTTTTTTCCTGGCTGACAAAAAACACTTTCGGAGAGCAAAGCTTTCACCCTTTCAAAGACATCTATAGCACTAAAGGGCACGGACTCAAAAGCATTGACAGTAAGACCCCCACAGCTCCCGCCACCTCTCAGCAGCAGAATGCATTGTGCTATGAAAATGATGAACGATCGTCAGTGGTGTGATCGTGTGTTATTCTTGACAGCCAGGAGATGGGAGCTGTACCAGATGTATATATACCTCCAGAGAGGCAACAAAACAAGGTGGTTCAGTCCTGCTTCCCAGGTCACATCCTACATCAGTGAGCTGTTAAAAGCAATCGCTGCGGGCAGCTGCTTTACCGTCCATCCCTCATCACTGCCTCCAAACTGCAAATCTCTCCCGAGGAGAGTGTGCTACCTGCTCTCTCTTCCCAGTCGCTCCTCCGGCCTGTTACGGGATGGCTGTGCAGTAAATGGGGTTCCTGAGAGCCCACGTTCCTACCTCCACTTCTCCTTTTGCAGAGAGAGCGAGAAAAATGGAGAGGCCCATAGGAGGAATGAACAGTCTCATGTTGGTTTCTGTTAAAAAAAAAAGAAAACAAAAGCAGAAGGAGGATGAATTAGATTGGATACCAGGGACTGATAGCAGCACCAGGAGAAAGCAGTCATTTTACTTTACGTTCGGAAACACAATTTTCTGTGGCGTATAAGTCAAAGAAATAAAACTTGCCGCAGGCAGTAACTGTCATTTATTCCTGTAGCTGTACTTTAAAAAAATCCCCAAAGTTTATACTGGGGCCAGGATGCCCCAGTGTGCTGTACAAGAGGACACTCGAGTGCTGCTTCCAGGCAAGTGGCACACAAATCCCTGAACTGGTGAGGCGCACGGCACAGCACGGCACAGCCTCCACGCAAGCCTACCTGATGTGTGTCTGACTGTAGTTAAACTTTGTATTTGCTAGTAGCACTGATTTTTCAGCCACGCTGAGGAACCACTGCACAAAAGCCGGTACAGGCCGAATGGAGTGCTGGGCGGGGTTGCATTTTGCAAGTGTGGGTTGTGCCTGCACCCCTTCCCATAAATTAAGCCTCCACTGGCATCTCATCCAGCTTGCAACCCAAGACCCTAGGGCAGGAAACATGTGCCTTTTTTACCCACCTTTTCCAACTTCTAAGATAAAAGCTAGTACAGTTGCACTTCAAAATTGCAACTTTGGTTTCAGAAACACTTTTAAAGAAATAAATGTTTAAAAGTAATGCTGCTACAAAATGAGGAAAACGTTGTTGCCTGCTGAAGAAGGGCCGTGTCGCACACCCATAAGGAAGAACAGCGGGAAAGTTCAGATCTACCATCTGCTACCTCAGGAAAATTCGCGTAAGCCCAAGTTTGGTCTTCTTTCTACAGTTGTGTTTATTCAGGAAACTGCAAGACAGGAGTTTGCACTGTATCTAGCAGAAATCAGCACACAAGCTGCAACCAATGCAGAGCCCGTGCTCTCCTGCTTATCCACTAAGAGCTGGAGCAAGCAGTACATCTGCCCAGCTGACATAATTTGTCATTGTAAAGAGCAAATCCATACCAAAATGCTGCTGTGCCCATTGCCGAGGAGCTGCATGTCCTGTGTAACCGCAAGGCATTTATTGAAAACTGGACCAGCGTGTCTAAGTCTACTCTTCTCCATCTCACAGCTAAAGAAACTGAGGCACACAGTTAATGATTTGCCCTGTGTTACAGAACAAGTCAGTAGCAGCACAAGGAATAAAAGCTGATTAACAATTACACTAACACTGTTGTTCAATGTATCCTTAATGTCAGCACAAGAAAAAAAAAAAGCATACCCAAGTCAAAGTAATTTTATTAGTAACTCACAAGAGCGAATTGCTACATTTTACTGAGAGAAAACCACAGCTTTATGTACCAGGGCAGAACTAGGGAAGCTGCATACTAAAATGCTGATTATGCAAATTCATCTTATGAACATTTTTAGACAAGAATGAAGCAAGGTTTATTTTCTTTAATTAAAAACAGAATCCTACGTAGTTCATTAGCATGGATTCAGAGCAGAATGAATATTAATGTAGCCCACCTCTCCCAATTCTACCTGCCAGAAATATCAAGGGAAAAAAGGTTAGAAAATGGATTCCTGAGCAACTGTAAAGGCAACTGGCTAAAGTCACTGCAAGGCTGCTAGCATCTTTGAAAGGTCACAGTGATCAGGGAAATCTTTTTGACTGGAAAAAGGCAAATGATACTGCCACCTTCAAAAAGGCAAGAAAGAGGATCTGGGAGGCTAGAGGCTGGTCAGCCTCACCTCAGCCCCCAGGAAAATTACAGAATAAGCCGTTACTGAAGCCGTTCCAGGCACATGAAATACAAAGTGACAGTGAACAACCAGTCAACACCAATTTACCAAGGGTGCATTCTGCCTGACCATCCAAGAGGCAATGACTGGCTCCGTGGCAGAGGGGAAACAGTGGATGTCATTCACCTTGACCACAGCAAGGCTTTCAACAGCATGTCCCGCAGTAGCCTTGTAGCTGGACCGAGGATATGAACTACAATATGGATGAAAAGCTTCTGGACCATCGGGCTCAAAACAATCAGTGGTTCAAGTCTAACTGTCAGGTGGCATTCAAGTGGCATTCCTCAGTAGTCAAAATTAGAGCAAAGTGTGTTGAACATCTTCCTTAACAACTCACGGTGCAGACAGCCCAGCTAAGGGCACGGGTTTTGCCTATCCTGGAGAAGGCTGAGAGAAGACCTAACTACAGTTTCCTACTAGAGAAGGGACTGCAGAGAAGACAGTCAGGCTGTTCTCAGGCATTCAATGAAAGGGCAACAGACAACAATCACAAGCTGCAACCAGGGAGTTGACCATGGAAAACAAATGCTTGCCTACAAGAGCGGCTAAGTGCTGGAACTGGTGCCGGGACACGCTGTGGAACCTCCACCATTGGAGGTTTCCAAACCTCAAGGTCTTGAGCAACTTGGTCTAGCTTTACAGTCGGCCTGGTATGTCCCAGGGGGTTGGACTAGATGACCTCCAAATGACCTTTCAACCTAAATTTTTCTATGATTCTGTGATTCTAAGTGTATATGTTTTCATCTTGAGGGCACTCACAAGGCATGAGCGGGACAACCAGGGGATCAGGCCTAGCCAGCACAGATTCATGAGAGGCAGGTCCTGCTTGACCAACCTGATCTCCTTCTATGACCAGGTGACCCGCCTAGTGGATGAGGGAAAGGCTGTGGATGTGGTCTCCCTGGACTTCAGCAAGGCCTTTGTCACTGTCTCCCACAGCATTCTCCTAGAGAAGCTGGCGGCTCACGGCTTAGACAGGTGTACTCTGCACTGGGTAAAAAACTGGCTGGATGGCCGGGCCCAGAGAGTTGTGGTGAATGGAGTTCAATCCAGTTGGCGGCCGGTCACGAGCGGTGTTCCCCAGGGCTCAGTACTGGGGCCAGTCTTGTTCAATATCTTTATCAATGATCTGGATGAGGGGATTGAGTGCACCCTCAGTAAGTTTGCAGACGACGCCAAGTTGGGCGGGAGTGTTGATCTGCTCGAGGGTAGGAAGGCTCTGCAGAGGGACCTGGACAGGCTGGATCGATGGGCCCAGGCCAACTGTATGAGATTCAACAAGGCCAAGTGCCGGGTCCTGCACTTGGGCCACAACAACCCCATGCAGCGCTACAGGCTTGGGGAAGAGTGGCTGGAAAGCTGCCTGGAGGAAAAGGACCTGGAGGTGCTGGTTGACAGTCGGCTGAACATGAGCCGGCAGTGTGCCCAGGCGGCCAAGAAGGCCAATGGCATCCTGGCCTGTACCAGAAATAGTGTGGCCAGCAGGAGCAGGGAAGTGATCGTGCCCCTGTACTCGGCACTGGTGAGGCCGCACCTCGAATACTGTGTTCAGTTTTGGGCCCCTCACTACAAGAAGGACGTTGAGGTGCTGGAGCGTGTCCAGAGAAGGGCAACAAAGCTGGTGAAGGGTCTGGAGAACAAGTCCTATGAGGAGCGGCTGAGGGAACTGGGGTTGTTTAGCCTGGAGAAGAGGAGGCTGAGGGGAGACCTCATCGCTCTCTACAACTACCGGAAAGGAGGTTGTAGTGAGGTGGGTGTTGGTCTCTTCTCCCAAGTAACTAGCGATAGGACAAGAGGAAATGGCCTCCAGTTGCATCAGGGGAGGTTTAGATTGGATGTGAGGAAAGATTTCTTTACTGAAAGAGAGGTTAAACATCAGAAGAGGCTGCCCAGGGAAGGGGTGGAGTCCCCATCCCTGGAGGTATTTAAAAGACGTGTAGATGAGGCACTTAGGGACATGGTTTAGTGGGCATGGTGGTGTTGGGGCGACGGGTGGACTCGATGATCTTAGAGGTCTTTTCCAACCTCAATGATTCTATGTAAATAGAAGTAGTCTAATCAGTGAAAAGCCACCAGTCACATTTATTCTGACAGGTCTTCAGGCTGTTCCACCTGTCAGGTCTCAGGCACCATTACTGTGCTTCCTCAGCCAAAAACTTCATATACTGTTTCCGAGCAGGAAAATCATCAGCCGGCCTGTTGTATGCTGTCCAGACGGGTTCTCCAACGAATAGCCTCATTGCCTTCACGTAATTCTGTCAAAGAACAAGAAGTCACAAGTAATTCAAGGGCTTCTTTCTGTGGGATCTTAATTCTGAAGTTAATTGTTTCATTTGCACTTCTGCAGCAATTTTTGAAACTATTTCAAGATGGACTGAAAGCTTCAGGCGTTCTAGGAAATTGTGCCACTATGCTGCTGTTCCTGCTCCCAGCTGCTGCAGTGGGAGATTTTGCACCTACACAGTGATGTATTTATTGTGTCATAACCAGCACCTCCAAGTCAGGCAGAGACAGTACTTCTCTTCATTTCAATGAAACCAAAAAAATCCTGTCTTATGCAAATCATTTTGCACGGGATCCACAATACTGAGCAATGCAGCATCTAATTCCTACTTGCTTAGTTAAACAAGAGCAATCAGAATACCCAAGATGGCTACACAATGCCTGAGGAACACCAGAAGTTTCAAAGTGAGGGCCATAAAGCTGAATGGGGAGTGCATAAACTACCCAAAACATAATGCTACAGGAAGCGAAAAGTCTTGAGATTCCAAAAGAAAAAGCAACAGCCCCTGCCACCAGCTAACCAAAAGAATGCCAAGTGCAAAAGTCCAGCTGTAGCAGCAGAAAATCAGGTTTTATGTCCTGCAGAAGTGCTCCAACCACTGAGTTATGGGGAACTCTCCTCTCCTCTTCTGTCCACTATGCTACAGGTTTAGACCCTACCTATTTTGTAAACACTGCTAAGTGCTTATCTTGCACCCAGGTGCTCAGCAACATCAAGAATAAAGTTAGGTACCTAAAGAACTTCGCCGCAAAATGCAAGGTTCTGGTAGTACCTAAAGAATTTACTGCGAAGATGGCACTTCCGGACTAAAGTTCCTGAAGTGGACAAACATTTAAGACTTCTTGCAGATTCAACCCATAACCCCTGACATTTTGTCTATGTAAAGAAAAAGCCTTAAACTAGCAATTGTAGCTGATGGATCTCAAAATGCAGACATGAAAAGTCGGGTTTTTCACCATAGCAGCATATCCCTTTTTTACATATATGACAACTGCTATCTGGACAGCTGATTCAAAAGTAGACCATTCTCATGACCGCGCCAGAGATGGGATTTTGCCACACAGGAGACAGCACACATTTCCCCATTTTCCAGGGGTAATGCTGAGATTACAAACATATTTATAAAAGTCCACAAGGAAATGCACACAGATAGGACTACATGTGCCAATCTCACAATCCCATTGCCAAAACTACGCTCCGAAAGCAGGTCACCTCCTGTGAAGTCAGCATCCAGTCTAGCACATGCTAGCTGCAACTAGTGGCTCTGGACCCTTAAATCCATCTTTCCCTGAAAGTGAATTTAGCACTCATGAAAAATGCCACAGCTCGACACAGATATGCTCTGTCTATCCCCATGAAGATACACAACAAGGCAACACAGAAGGATCCATCTACAACATCTCCACCTCAACCGACAGCAAGGGCAATTGTGGGAGGGACAGCTGCAGGGCTTGGCTCTCACGCCGCTGTCACGTAAGATATGCTACAGATATCATGTGGCAATGACTTGCAGGATTTGTGACCTGGAGATGAAAGGTTCAGATGCTGTGAATTATTTAGTATTTTTCATATTCCTACTTCATATTTAATACGTTTTGCTAATGAACTGCAAGTCTCAGGGCATGTAGTTACTAACGTGATATATACTCGCATGGATTTGTCATCAAAATTTACGGTAATCTATAACAACATACGTTCTCATCCAGTGTAAATCGGTGATATATGCCAGCAGGGAGGGTTATCATGTCTCCTTTTTCCATGGAAATCCGGATCCATTTGTCATCCTTGTCTCGAACATCAAAATAGCCAGATCCATCTAAGATGTAGCGAATTTCATCGTCTAGATGTAAATGTTCTTCATAAAATGTTTTTATCTAGGAACAGCAAGTATCTCTTAAAACTACTTAACACAGAAAAACTGCAAAGAAATCTGGTAGAAACACGTGGCAAAGCAGACAAAGGCTTTCAAAAGGTAACTGCGCAGTGATTTAACTAAACAGATGAGACCAACATGGTTAAAATGGCCAATCCAGCCAGCCAGACCCTGCCTCAGGACACTTCTAAGTAGGCTGTTACATTTCCTTTGGAATTTCTCTGACAAGAAACAGCAGCTATAGCTGCACATAACCAGTCTCTGAATAACAGTAATGCTTACACGCGTTTGAGAGAGAGGCGGGTAAAGCTTCCCACAGCAGGATTTGGTCCTTGCAGTTGTTCAGTTTGATCATTTTGTGCCTTTTTTTTCCCCACATGCAAAAATAAAACAGAGCTACAGATTATCCCCCCTCTTTTACACTGGTGTAAGGTTGAATTAGCCCCACAGCTACTACAACTCTATGTGGAAATGCAGTTATTGCCAAACATGGCTCATCTACAGCAGTCTGATGTAAACAGCATGTCACGCCTGCCCCCACACAGTGAGCCCCAGCTCCAGGCTCTCTCCTCCCAGGCAGCAGCAGCAACATTCTCTTTTTCTCCAGAATGGTGAATTCTTTGTATATTTCACAGCACAGAACAAAACATGCTTTAAAGGTTCAATTAATATAGACCTGAGCAGGTTAGTGCACAGAGAGCAGTGCAATGCCTGGTACTATCACCTGCTCAGGCCTGGATGCTATTTAGCCATACTAGTACAGGTGTCCCTGAGCCAGTACCGATCCAGCACGGCAAGATGAGCAAAAGTCTGTATACCCTGTCAATAACGGCCCATCTTTGTGTCAGGTAGAGCTCACCCAGGCAACCTGAGTTACTACCTAATTTACCTTCCCATCAATTTAAAACCAGTATAACACAATGGGCTTAAAATAAATTGGTAAATGGAAGTTTAATGAAAACACGGAAGTGCCACTGGGTTGCTGCCCTCAGGTCAGAGCAGTATGCCAGCACCTGGAGGCTGGGAGAAGAAAGCTCCTTCTAGGAGGCTCATCTGAGAGCCTGGCACCATTTGTATTCAGCTGTTATGAAATCGCCATGGTACCAGCTTCCCAAGGTAAAAAAAAAAAAAAAAAAAAATCTTCTTGTACGGGAAATGTGTCCCTCTGATTCCACGAGGTGAACGTTCACTTTGAAAAGATGTATTTTGCAAGCAGCCATTAGGATGTTCCAGCCTTCAAAGCCCACGCCCAGCTGGCAACCGCCTGCCTTCATCCTGGGGAGGCTCTCCGAGGACAAGTCAGCATCGGCAGGGCTCTGCTGGTAGGAATCTTAGTTTTGTAATGACACAGTGATGGAAGCTATCCTTAAAACCTTTGAAGGCAATCTACAGAAGCAAAAGGCCACTGCTATTTTTAAAATAGTCTCAAAACTACTTTTTTAATGTTACAGACTTCAGTACGGGATGTATTTTACACGTGGAAATCTCATCTTTGTGCCCCTGCTCAGGGTGTGCAGGTGTTGAGAAGCCAACTGCACACTCTAGCGGTAGACTTCAGCATGCAGATCCTCATTCAAATCAAAGACTCGCATACCTTTTCCTCATAATTTGGAAGCTTGTCTTTATGTATGGTTACTATATCCATCCAAGAATAATTTTCTGCTCTTCGAATCTCTTTCAGACATGGATCAGTCTCATAGTTATCAGCATCCAACTAAAAATTAGTCAGGGAAAAAAAAAAAAAATGTATTCAGACACAATTGCTTAAGACATAATTCAGGACACTAACGTGGAAAAACCTGAGTTGTCACGAGTGTCGGTGGAGGGGCAGGTCGCTCCAGGAGCAGCTAAGTTTGCTGCCAGAGGTACACAAGGTGTGCCAGCTTCCTTAGATTTACCTGCACCCAGCCCACCCCCGCACAGACACCGCCTGGGCCCCTCCTGCCGCCCCCCCCCCTCCCCCGCTCCGCTGCGCCCGCCGGCGGCGCG